CGAGCGCAATGGCGCGCGCGGCCACGCGCGACCCGCCGCGGGCTCTAACTTGAATGCGCGGGCGTCGCGGCGACGACGACGGCGACGGCGGCGACGACGGCGGCGTCGGCGCCGACGGCGATGACGACGGCGACAACGGCGACGGCGGCAACGACGAACGCCACGGCGACGGCGGCGACAGGGCCCGGGCCCACGGGCGAACACGCGCTCCGCTCTCGCCCCTGGAGCCCAGCGCCAGATTTTATGGGCGGAGCGAAATTTCGGCGCGCAGTTTTACCCCAGCCGCCCCCCCGCTTCACTAAAGCTTTCTTTTTGGTAGAACGTCCTTTTTTCGGAGTGCATCGAGCGGCTCTCCTTTTATCATAGGCGCTTTCTCGCTTTAGTAGCCGCTTCTTCGCTGCAGTAAAGCCGCTCCCTCGTTTTAGTAAAGCCGCTTCTTCGCTTTAGTAGAGGCCGCGGCCAGCCTTGGTAAAGCCCTGGGCGCGCGGGGCCAGGGCCTGGTCGGGGGGCGGGGGGCCCTTCCCCCCCCCTGTCAGTTCACCCCGCGATGCATTTGCTCGAGTAGTCAGGGTCGCGCTGCATCGGGTCGCGGCGATCCTCGGACATGTTTTCAGCGAGTGGTAGATGCCCCCTGGTAGGAGATTCGGGGCGCGAGCGCAGGACGCGACTCGGCGCTTCGGGCGCGCCGCCGCGGGCGTCGCGCGACAGAGCAACAGCATTTCACTAAAAGGCTCGCTTCCTTCAGCAAGTAGCTGCTTCAAAGCAATAGTGAGAAATTTCCGCTTCTAACAGTCGGGGGGCGATTGGGTCTCGAGGGCGCCCCGCGCCGACCGCGCGGGGGCCCGCTCTTGAACCGCCCGCGCGAGCGCGAGCATCTCGCGGCCCTCATGTCGAGCAAAGGAATGATTGAGCATTCTCTTGCGGTGGTCGAGACTTGCGGATGGTTCGACGCCCAGAAAAAGAGCGGCAAGCAATGTTTCATCATTGGCGCTCACAGGTGTTCACGTCGGTTAAAGTCCTCCGGAGACCCGCTTGGCCCCCGGCGATTCCTCTCGCGCGTTTGCCGCCGCCGATCTCATTGTCGAGCTCGGTCAGACCGATGCGAACAATGCGTTTTATCAAGTGGCGATGCCCGTCGAGCTTCGACCATTATTCGGGCTGGCGCCGGTTCGAGCGGGCAGAGTAGGAGCGTCTGTCCCGGTCGATGGGGTCTGAAGTCTCTCCCAGCACGTCTGCTTATCTTCGATGTTGCGTTCTCGCGACGAGGTGCGCTCGCGCCCTGAACTGGTGTCAGCGCGCACTCGAGGACATCAGTTCTCGGGTGCTTGGCCTAGGACCACAGTCCAGGGCCCAGGATCGCAAGCCGCGCGCGACGCGGCCGAGAGCGCGACCGAAGAGCTTCGCGCTGCCCGGTTGCGCGCTCACTCGGCGGAAGCTGGGTCTAGCGAGCGGCCTGCGGCGCGCGCTGAGGAACGTCGCGCGTGGAGGGCCCGCGTGGCTCTTCAGCATGCTCTTGGACGCCCTCGACTCTCGGGGAAGGATCTGGAGGTTCTCGCGGGCCGCTGCGCGCGCGCGTTCCTGATGTGTCGCGAGCTGTTGTCTTGCTTCAACGCGGCGCACGCAGTCATAGCTAGGCGCCGTCACGAGCGGGCGCCATGGGATGTTTTTCGTAAAGACCTACGCTGGGCCGCCCACCTCGCCTGTTCCTGTTGGAAGGACCTTTCGGGGTCCGTCTGCCCCACGATCGCCTCGAGCGACGCGTCGGAGCGGGGGCGCGGGGGCGCCATCTCAAGGGGGGGGAGGGTGACATAACAGAGGCCATGAAGTATTCGGAGAGGCGGAGTTTCCGCGAGGGCGCCGAGGAGGCCCGCAAGCAGGCCGCCAATCTCACCGAGGAGGCCCAAGGCGCTCACCACGTCGACGGGCTGCGCGAGGAAGCTGATGAGCTGGGCGCAGCCCTGGGCGGCAAGGCGGACCCGGGGCTTCAACGGGGAAACGGGGCACCGCTTGTTCCTGAGAGGCTTCTGAAGAATAAATGGTTCGCGGTCTGCTCTCGCCCCTGGAGACGCCCAGATGGCGCGCTCGCCCTCGAAACTTGGTCGTCGCGGCGGGGCCTCCGACATCAGCTTCGCCACGCTCGGCGGCGGGGTCGAAGGCTTCCGTTCCTGTCCGGCCCCACATCTGCCACGCCGGCTTTTTCGAAGTTGAGGAGTTCGGCGCCGGGCATGCTCAAGGCTGTGCTAGCCTGGGCCGCCGCCCCGCCAGTGTCTGGCTGCGCGGCCACGCTGGACCCCGAGCGGGCACAACTCCGTCGACGCCCCGTCGAGACGGGGCCTCGCCGGGGCCTCGGGCTGGAAGCGGGCGCGAGGCGACGCCGCCGACGGCGCCTGCGCGGCAGGGCGGGCGCCTGCGCGGGGAACATGGGCCGCCGCAGAGGCGCCAGAGCCCTTCCGCCGCCCCAGCGCCCAGAAGCTGGCGAGAGTCAGGCCTCGCACCCAGGCGCTGCATCAGTCGAGCTGGGACCTCTTCGCGAGCTGGGAGCAGAAGCAGCCGCCGGCGTTCGAGACGGAGGAGGAGCTCGAGACCGCGGCGCCGGGGGGGCGCCTGGTCAGCGCCATCTGCCACCCCCGCCCGGAGTTGAGCCGGCAGAGAGGTGCCAGGCTGGCTCGAGCATTGCAGGCCCTCCGCGGCTGACGCCTCAGGGCGCCGAGCCAGTCGCGGCCGCCTACCACGCTGGACGCGGTCTGTCTCATCCCAGGGATTCCGGGAGATGGCAGCCGCAGTCGCGATGGAGATGGCAGCCGCAGTCGCGACGCGCGTGATCTTGCATTTTCGCCCCAGGGATATCGTGGACCTGAGGACCTGCCAGCTGGCGCCACCGCTGCCCCAGGGCCACCCATGCCATCGGCGCAGAACGCCGGCGCTGCATCCAACGGAACTGGGACGGCCGCCCAAGACCAACCGTTGGGGCGACTCGCGGACCCTCGACCTTAGCGAGCACATGTTCTTCGCGCCAGTGCTGGCCAGACTGCGCGGACCCGGACCCGGGTCCGACAAGCGGCCGGCGAACTTCCATCACTTGACGGTCGGGCTGGAGCCGGGGCTGGGCGCGCTTGGCCCCCCGACGCTCTACTGCCTAAGGCACGCGGGCACCAGCTTGGACAACGCCATGGGCCGCCGCACCACGCTGGAGATCCAGCATCGCGGCAACTGGGATGCCGCGAACTCGATGAGGAGGTGCCAGAAGGCACGCCGCCTCACCGAGCAGCTCCAGTTGCTCGCCCCCGGCGCGCGCGACGCGGCGTTCAGATGCGCCGCGCAGATTGGCAACGCCCTTACAGAGCATTCAAATTCCTGAAAGCCAGCTGCATATCCGTATTCTCAGGAAGTGGGCACTTCTCTCAGGCGCTGCGGCACTTGGTGGGAGCGCCCATCTTTGACTTCGGCGTCAATCATGGCAAACAACATGACGCTACGCTCCCATACGTGCAGGAAAGAATTCGAGGATGGATTTTGAGTTCACAGCCGTGGTCTCCCCGTGGCTCGGCACTCCATGTGGCAGCTTCTCCAGGGCCTGCGATAGGCCCAACGGGCCGCCTCGCCTTCGCAGTGACGAGATGCCGATGGGACTGCCAAGCCTCGCTGCAGTTGACCAGCGGAAAGTTTATTCGGAAACATATTGCTAATGTTTGTCGTGCTTTGTGCCGCGGTTGTTTCCCCGCTTGGCGATACCCGCAGCCTTGGAGAATCCAGCCACCAGTCGTTTGTGGATATGCCCTCTTATGAAGCACATTTTGGCGCTCATGACCTCGACAACGTACAGGGCAGAGTTCTGCATGTTTAACCGCCCTTGGAGAAAACGAACCCAGTTCATTGGCATCCACGTGGATCTCTCTGCCAGCGAGAGGAAGTGCCAAAGCCGAGGAGTTTGCTCGAGAGCAGGCAAGCCGCACGTGGAGCTGGCTGGCAAAGTGAACGGCGTCTTCCGCACGCACATCACAAACCTTACTGGCCAGGCCTCCGCAAGCTGCTCGCACAACGTTTTCAGAACACCCTGGCCGCTCGCTCTCTTGCTTGTTATAGCAGTGCGTGTTGATGACCCCTGCCTCTGCGTAAAAATATCGGCAGTGTGGGAGTTCAAGTTCCTTGAAGACCTCACCACGACATGTTGATTTTGGCTGCAGTGGAAAAAAGAGCTCAGCAGCTTGTGAGATGACTAATATCGTCCTAGCTGTGTGCGCAGTGCTTCCACGGTCGGCCGTCTGAGATCACAGGGTACAATCCAAGCAAAGGTGCAGCGCTTGGCGCACTTTCGGTCTTCGCCTTTGTCTCGTTTTTGTTTCCTGCTCGATTTCTCTGCTCCCAGCGGGGCTCAAAGGCTCCCGCCGCGCACTCCCCGCCTGCGATCCCCTGAGCGATCACGATGGGGGTTCAAGTGCCTTTAAGACCGGTCTTCATCTAAGTCAGTTTCTGAGCTTTTGGATTCCTGCCAATGCACGGCAGTGCAGTCACGACGACATGATGTTTCTGGCCGCAGTGGAAAAAGGAGTTCGGCAGCTAAGAAATTTACACACACGCATCATACAAACGTACCTAATTACCTATCTACCTACCGACCTACCTATATACATACATACCTACAGACATCCATACCTAGATACCCACATACGTACATACATACATACATACATACATACATACATACATACATACATACATACATACATACATACATACATACATACATACACACGTTCGTACATACATACATGCATACATACATGCATGCAAGCATGCATACATACATGCATGCATGCATGCATGCATACATAAATGCATACAAACATACATACCTATTAAGTATGTGAATATGTACATATACACACAACTTTGCCTTATCAACGGGCGTGGTCGATGCCGCCCTCCTTGCCGCTGAGGTCCTCCGAGGGCCCGCCTGAGGCCCGCCGAAGTGCCTCCGCCGCTCGCCAGCCCCCCGCAAGGTTGGGCACTCGGGCCTCGGCGCGCTGGAGTCGGCAAGGGCGCGGGCCACGCCGGGCGCCCGACCGGGCGCGGCGGCGGCGGTGCCGCCGCTGGCGCGCCAGAGCGCACCAGGAGCAGTCGGACCCAGATCTCCGACGATTGTGGTTTGTTTAATCTCGGCCTCTCGGGCCTCTTATTGGGCACCGGGGCCACCGAAAATGGGTCCGGGACGAAGAACTACCCCTGGGGAAGGGGTCGGGACTTCTCGGGCCACGGATTGACAAAGAACAAAAAAAAGAAAACATCGTCGGATGTCCGGCGAGGGGGGCAAAGGGAGGACGAATGGGAGCGCGGGCAACATAAATCGAGAAGGGAAACAGAGGATCTAGCTTTGTTGTCATCTTCGGCCTCTTGAGTTTTTCCCAACCATCCTGTGGTGTTGGGTCCTCGTTTTGAAGAGACAGCGCCCCGCGTCTCCTTCCTTCCTTCCTCCTCCCCCTCCTCCCTCATCGCCCTCCCAGTGCAGCGCTTCGTAGCCCCATAGGGAGCTCCACCGAAGGCCCCAGTGGGGGTGCCCGCATGCGGTTCCCCCACCCAGCGCAGCGCTTCGTGGCCCCATAGGGAACTCCACCGAATGTCCCAGTGGGAGTGCCCGCATGCGGTTCCCCCACCAAGGGCAGCGTTTCGTGGCCCCATAGGGAGCTCCACTGTAGGCCCAAGTGGGGGGGCCCGCATGCGGTTCCCCCACCCAGGGCAGCGTTTCGTAGCCCCATAGGGAGCTCCACCGAAGGCCCCAGTGGGGGTGCCCGCATGCGGTTCCCCCACCCAGGGCAGCGTTTCGTGGCCCTATAGGGAGCTCCACCGAAGGCCCCTGTGGGGGTGCCCGCATGCGGTTCCCCCACCCAGGGCAGCGTTTCGTGGCCCCATAAGGAGCTCCACTGTAGGCCCAAGTGGGGGGGCCCGCATGCGGTTCCCCCACCCAGTGCAGCGTTTCGTAGCCCCATAGGGCGCTCCACCGTAGTCCCCAGTGGGGGTGCCCGCATGCGCTTCCCCCACCCATGGCAGCGTTTCGTGGTCCCACAAGGAGCTCCACCGTAGGCACCAGTGGGGGTGCCCGCATGCGGTTCCCCCACCCAGCGCAGCGTTTCGTGGCCCCATAGGGAGCTCCACCGAAGGCCCCTGTGGGGGTGCCCGCATGCGGTTCCCCCGCCCAGGGCAGCGTTTCGTGGCCCCTCAGGGAGGTCCGCCGAAGGCCCCAGTGGGGGTGCCCGCATGCGGTTCCCCCACCCAGGGCAGCGTTTCGTGGCCCCACAGGGAGCTCCACCGTAGGCCCCAGTGGGGGTGCCCGCATGCGATTCCCCAACCCAGGGCAGCGTTTCGTGGCCCCAAAAGGAGCTCCACCGAAGGCCCCAGCGGGGGTGCCCGCATGCGGTTCCCCACCACCACCACTGTGGCAGGCCCCTCACACAGTTCGTGGCCCCATAAGGAGCTCCACCGAGGACGTTATTCACAACTGCGGTACTCACAACTGCATATGGTTGGGTCCGTCGCCAGGCTAATTTTCGATGGACCCCAGAACCTTCGAAAACCAGTCGGGGACGAAGATCTTGCTAGGATGAACCTTGGGAGGCGGGAGGGAACCAGGGAACCGATTCTGACAAGATTTTGGTCGGGATCGGGGCGCAAGTAACGGGGGTCAGCGCTAAGGGGGATCAACCAATCCCTTCCGACCGACCCAGGTCTGGGAGCCACGCGGAGCGAGCCCTTCGCTGACCCAGGCTTGGGAGCAATTTCGAAACCGGCCAAGTTCTTGACATGGTTTGGTTGGCGCCAGGGTGGGTTAGCGCTGCCCCGGGTCAGCCCGTCCCGAGGGGGGCGAAGGGAAAAAAAAGCTCCAGATTTCATGGCAGAGAGAAGGGGATGGCCTGGAGCTGTCTTGGAGGACTGGCGGGACATCTGTGCAAGAGGTCCCCGGAGGTCCCCGGACGCGGGGATTTCTGCAAAGGCTCGTCTGGGAGGGTTGTGACCCCGCCCCCGCTATTATACATGATCCCGGGCCGAAGGTTCACAGGCCCCCCCCCGCGCCCCCAGATGGGTGGATGGGTCCCAGGGTTCATAGGTCCCCCCGTGATGGGATGGGGGGGACGACGACGACGACGACGACGACGACGACGACGACGACGACGACGACGACGACGACGACGACGACGGCGGCCACGACCACAGCGACGACGACTTTGACCACGACCACGACCAAGACCACGACGACGACCACGACCGCCACGCCCACAAGGCCACGACCACGGGGGGGGGGCCATCGCGCCAGGGGGGGAGAGCCGAAGGCATGAGCATGAGAGGGAGAGATCGTGAAGAATCCTCGGGGGTCCTGAGGAGTCCTGAGGGATCCTGAAGAATCCGGAGGAATCCTGAGGAATCGTTTGGGATCTTCGGGGGTCCTGGGGAATCCACAGGAAGCACGCCCAGAGTGCTAACACCCTCTTCAGCTCCGTGGGGGGCGTGCCGCCGCCGCCCCAGTGCCAACGCATTCACCGGCTCGCAGGTGCTGGAGCGTTGCTTAACCTTAAGGGTAACCGCTAGATTTCTGAGAAAATCCAAAACAAATCGGAGCCCGTGTTAATTTTGTTCTGAACAGCAGCAACAACAACAATAACAACAACAACAACAACAACAACAACAACAACAACAACAATTACCAGCACGTGGGGACACACCGTTCTCACCAGTGCCAGGGTTTTCATAGGAGGCGGGCAATACCCCCACTTTGTGGGGGGGCCGGTTCAAGCTCTACCAAATTTCCAAACGACTCTTCGCCACCACCCACACCCAGCTTCCCGCCCTATGACGTTCGGACACTTCACTTCGTGGCATGCGGACGACCGTGGCTACTATTCAGGGCCCCGCGGCCGACGACGACGGCGTGCGCGCGCGAAGAAAAAACGAATGTGTCCCGCATGGTATTATTTGACAGGGATGATGGCCCTGGCAGGTGCGCAACCGTTGTTGCAGAAGTTCGAAAAAGTTGCTCGCAAAAGCCCGTTTGACAGAAATGATTAAAAAGTGTTGGGTTTCCTACGAATCCGCAAGAGCGCGCGGGATGAAAGTTTGACAATTTTTGTTGAAAAACCATTGGTTTTTTGATGTTTTTATGTTAAAATCGCTACGAAAACTAAGGTTTTGGAAGGATTTCGTCTTGCGCGCGCGAATGTCCACTTTACCTTATTTTTTGCAAGGGATTCTTGAAGTTTGGTTATGTTAGAACAAGAAATGTCCACTTTAGCTTTTTTTTGCAAGGGAAAACCGATCGTAACAACACAACCGGATCCGGACCAACCCGTTTTGCCTGAGACTTCCTCACGAAAATGATGAAAATGAGGCTGCGGCCTAGGCGCGGCGGGGGGGTCGTGCACCAGGGGCCCCAACAATAATTATTCTTTAGAAGTAATAATGTTCAACAACAACAACAACAACAACAACAACAACAACAACAACAACAACAACAACAACAACAACAAAGATTACGACGTTCGCTACTTCTATTACTTCCTACATCGGCGTTCCGAAAGTTTATTCCGATTTGAGAAGCACGGCGCCGCGCGAATGCAGCGCAAACGCTATGCTGGAAGGGCGCGGCAATTCATGCCCCCTGGACAGGCGAGAGCAGCCGCGCCCCCGTGCGAACCTCGATCCCGCGCGGGGAGCGTTCCCGTTGACAGTGGATCACCCGGGAAACCATTTCTTGCGCAGGAAGTCCTGAACGGTCTGCCCACCGGCGGCTCCTTCGGACGAGGCCCAGAACCACCGAGAAACCGTTTTTCATAGGAAGTTCTAGGCGGTTTGCCCATGCTCGGTTTCTTCGGAGTGGGCCCGAAGACCTCGAGAATGATGTTTTTTTGAAGGAGTCCTAAGCGGTTTGCGCATTTTCGGGTCGTTCGAACCGGACCTGAAATTCTTTCCGGCACAAGTCCTATGGCATTTGGCCATTGTCAGGTCGGCCGGTAAATTTTTCGGGTCCTCGTATGACCGAACCCGAAAGCTTGCTTCGAGGAGGTCCTATGCCGTTTGCTCACTTTCGGGTCAGTACACCGTTTGGGATTTGAGATTTTGAGTTGGGAAGGGGGACCCGATCCCGCGACCCCAGGCGGGGGTTAGGCTCTGCCCTTGCATTGCACTGGGCCCCTCCGGCCAAACGGGGTGCTGGGCTGCCCATCGGCGCGCCGGCTTTGCCCTCGCGACATCGCCCCCATCCGCCCTCGGGCCCCACGGGTCCCATCCTGCGCGCGCCGCCCCAGATGGCCGCGGCGAGCGTGGTGGCGAAATTGGGGAAACTTCCGGCTCGGCGCAGTATTCTTATTAGTTCTCGATTACCACGACTACTACGACTACTACTACTACTACTACTACTACTACTACTACTACTACTACTACTACTACTACTACTACTACTACTACTACTACTACTACTACTACTACTACTACTACTACTACTACTACTACTACTACTACTACTACGTACTACTACGACTACTACTACTACGACTACTACTACTGACTACTACTACTACTACTACTACTACTACTACTACTACTACTACTACTACTACTACTACTACTACTACTACTACTACTACTACTACTACTACTACTACTACTACTACTTACTACTACTACTACACTACTACTACTACTACGACTACTACTACACTACTACTAGACTACTACTACTACTACTACTACTACTACTACTACTACTACTACTACTACTACTACTACTACTACTACTACTACTACTACTACTACTACTACTACTACTACTACTACTACTACTACTACTACTACTACTACTACTACTACTACTACTACTACTACTACTACTACTACTACTACTACTACTACTACTACTACTACTACTACTACTACTACTACTACTACTACTACTACTACTACTACTACTACTACTACTACTACTACTACTACTACTACTACTACTACTACTACTACTACTACTACTACTACTACTACTACTACTACTACTACTACTACTACACTACTACTACTACTACTACTACTACTACTACTACTACTACTACTACTACTACTACTACTACTACTAC